GATATACATGCCACAGGCAATACAGGGTCCCTTCACTGGCGGTGGTGTGTATTTGTAGTCGAGGTGATGGCTGTGGTATTTCATATCCTTTGGTTCCTCGATCTTATCCTTAGGCGAAGGAGTTCTGAGGAGTTCAACCTTAGAGCCCGGTAGAGTCAAGTGGTCTGAAGGCATGGGCGACGTGGATGTCGAGCCGCCTTCGTATGAACGGTTCGTTCGGGTGACTGTCGTTCGGGTGTAAGTCGTGGCCATTTTTACTGATGATTTCACTCACGACTGTTGACTAGAAGAGTGATGTCGAGAGACACTGAATCTCTAGGCAATGGTTCCCATAAACACCGCGAGTGTAGTGTCGATGGGGACTGAGATGTGATGTCTAAAAGTGTAACTCCTATTCCGATGCCAACTAAACGATAGGAGTTTTGGACTGTGAATGCGCTTTACGTCTCTTCAAACTCAGATCATATATAAGTTTTTTGGCGAAAATATGAATGTTTTTTGGAGCACAAGAGCTAAAAGCGACTGTTTTGCACAATTTGTAACATCTCTCTGACCTTGTGTTCAAAATATGATATAATTATTATTTATTTTTACTTTAGTTGACAAAAATTATCCGAATTATAGACCACTAAATGATGTCTGACTTACATATCGTTATTAAAGCTATTTATAAACTTTTCGATCCTGACATCAATTGAATCATTTTAACTATAAATTGATTTTTAATATGTTTGTGTCAAATATATTTCTTTGTTAATTATTGAACTGTTTTGAAACCATGAATAAAATATATAATACAGAATCTAAAAAAATTAATTTATTTTAATATTTTATTTAATAGTTAAAATTATATTATATTGATTAATTATATTTTATTGTAAAAATATCAAGACAAATATTAATATGTTATAAATTATAATTAATAAATCTTGTTATAATTTTATATAGTAACATTTATATTTGAATAGGCTAAAAGTCGTTATAATTAAAACTATTTGTTGATTCACACCAACACATTGTTTACTATTTAAAACTATTTGACAAAACAAGTAAAATATTAACAAATTTCATTAAATTTGTGAAATAAATGAAATGTTTAATTTGTTATTTGTCTGAAAAATATAAAAATAAAATCACACGATCATTGAATTCAAGAATATATATAATTTTCTGTACAATACACTGGAATTGTGCCCAAAAGACACCCTTTTAAGAGTCTGTGTCAGTAAAGCATATATTGTATGCATTTGTTTGTTGTATACGAGTATAGAAAATAGTCTAAAAATAATTATTTGATTTCGTGTTTTGACATTTTTTGTGAAGAAACAGTTGTGTTAGTTATGAAAAACAGAGCAAACATTGAAAGACTAGAGTTTTTAAAATGAAGTGAAGATCTATAAAATCTGATAGAAGAGCGACTCTTTGAATGCTGTTTTAAATCTAATTATAATCGTTAACACAATTCACTTGAAGGTCGAGCACTCAAAACATTGATTTCTCAAATATTTCTTAATCCTCATAAGAAATGTGTGGAAAAATTAGCATTTGTTTTGTTTTACATTTTCGTATGGATTCGAGTCTATGTTTCTTACATTTAAAGGAATCCTCAATTCAAACATTGATTTCTCAAATATTTCTTAATCCTCATAAGAAATGTGTGGAAAAATTAGCATTTGTTTTGTTTTACATTTTCGTATGGATTCGAGTCTATGTTTCTTACATTTAAAGGAATCCTCAATTCAAACACATAAATATTCATCACTTTGTGTTACTTTGGTTATGGAAAATGACATTTGTATTATTGATGGGCCTCTCAAACAAACAATTGACTTCAATTAAATTCTATTATTTCTCAATTTAACTCAATTTAATCTTCACTTTTTAATTCAATTAGTTTTTCTGTTATATTTTGTTTCAAAATCCATTTGTTAATAAACATGAGTTACAGAATATATAATGTAAACAAAATCTAATTTTAGCCAAGAATTAAAAATTTGTTCATATATTGAATGGTTTGTTAAAAGACGAGGAATTTCTATACAAATAAATAATATTATAAATGTTTATTAAGAAATTTCATTTTTCAAATAATATTGAAATTGTTATTTGTTTATAACATTACAACAGTTTTAGAAATTTATTTATTTTAAATTGTAATCACTTTTCGGAATTCATGATTCAATTTTTAGATATTTTTATTATCCAACCCTTTGATAGGTTTTTGGGAAAACAAGTCTATAAACAAACAAAGGNCTCGACATCACTCTTCTAGTCAACAGTCGTGAGTGAAATCATCAGTAAAAATGGCCACGACTTACACCCGAACGACAGTCACCCGAACGAACCGTTCATACGAAGGCGGCTCGACATCCACGTCGCCCATGCCTTCAGACCACTTGACTCTACCGGGCTCTAAGGTTGAACTCCTCAGAACTCCTTCGCCTAAGGATAAGATCGAGGAACCAAAGGATATGAAATACCACAGCCATCACCTCGACTACAAATACACACCACCGCCAGTGAAGGGACCCTGTATTGCCTGTGGCATGTATATCGTCGGATCGGTCTGTATTGCACCCAATTATACATTCATATTCACTAATCTATCAAAATTAAAGAAATGGTTTAATAGTTAATCAATTATTATAATTATGTCAGTTGTCATACAATTTCTTATTATCTCATAAATCTTGTTAGAAATTAGCATTTTATTTGTTTTAATAGATTTTTATCGTATCTTACACTATAAAAAAATAAAATTATTTATAATTTAAATTTTATTTAAGAATAATTTTTGTATTAGTTTTTATAAAAAATGTTAAATTATTGACTTTTATTCTAAAGTTTAGAATTTAAACATTTTTATCGTATATAAATCTATTTTAAACTATATCTTTAACATTATTCGGGACTTATGAACAATTTTGATCTAAACCAAGTTTTGTAAACTAAATAGTTAACTTTTATAGATATTCGTGTTGTTAGTTCAATAATTGATTAGATGATTAAATAATACATGTAATTAGCATTTAATTATTTGTCAAAAATTCATACAAATTTTTAGTTATTATTCAACAAAAATATTTCCTGTCGGTAACTTTTGTATTAATTTAATGAAACATAAATGTGTTGATTAACACAACCATAAGTGGTTATCAAACCTAAAACACGTGTATAATTGACTTTATAATTGTTTTTAGTATTTATAGCTCTTTACAGTAGGTTTTAACTCTTTAACAAAATCTAGTTTCGTTTTATAAACTTAAAAGTGTTACGAATTTTTTCATTTCAATTTAAATTATATATAAATAGTGTATAATTTAATAGAAAACTCGATCGTCTCATCTCACGCTCATTAAAGCTTTTGTCAAAAACCTCTTTTATAAGAAATATCACAGAATTTCGCAGAAAACTGAGATCTATTGAAAACTCAAAACTATATTTATCTTAAATGAGAAAAAGCAAAAAATAGATTATTATTATTACAATGAAAACCATTTTTAAATGATTAATAACTTTCTAAAAAGTGTGATATTTGTCAGCAATTTTTTAGTTTTGTGTCCCAAAAGATAACATATTATGGTCTAGTTTTATATAATGTTGCTTAGCGAGTGATACAAGATATGGCTAATTATTAAGACGTCTAATTATATATTCTGTAGATTTCTTTTCTCATTAAAAAAACAAAAGTGGGTTTAAATTATAGAATAAATCTTTGCTCAATTACATAATATATTTCTACAAACAAAATAAATATTACAATTGTAATCGCTATTATTAGCTCTTATAGTGAGCTCATTTTTCCAAGATATATTTCATCATGATTATTATCAAACTGAATGTTATAAAAATATTAATTACACAATTATTAGATTTTCAAACAATTTATTTAAGAATAATTTAACTAAAAATTTAGCACAAAATAAAATAATAAACAAAATCCCAATCCTTAATATGTCCTCAATATTACTGATAATAATAACTATTAGTTATGAAAACAAATTTCTATTAAACAATAAATCACTGAAATGTTTGCTAAATACTGTATTGATTGAAGAGTTGATGTATTGTTTATGACAACAGTTGGTGACAGCATGTGATGAGATGTGGCACCCGGAGTGCTTCACGTGTTGCAATTGTGACACTATTCTCAAGGCATACAATTACCAAGTTCAGGACAATAAGCAATACTGCAAACCCTGTCACGAGAAACTGTTTGGCCCGCCCTGTTCTGCCTGCCATAAGCCCACTAAAAACGTAAGTTTTAGACAAAACTTGTCATATTTGGCGCCGATTGTAACGGAAAGACCACTTGCCTGACCACCAGAATCGGCTGATTGTGTTGAACCGCATTTGGCACCCAAACTGTTTCTGTTGCGTTGAATGCGGCAAAATCTTGACGGTCGACAACTTTATCGAGCGATTGGGTTCACCCTATTGTAAGGAAGACTATCACCGGCTCTTCTCTCCCAAGTGTTGCGTCTGCACCGAACCCATCAAAGATGTCAGTCATCTCTTCCATCAGTTATTATTGAATTGAAAATTAATTGCCATTTAAACTGATTTACTAAAATAGAAAGCGATAAATGCCCTTGGTAAAATGTGGCACACATATTGCTTTAAGTGCACTCATTGTGGTTGTCCTCTCGAGGAGAGAAACTTCTACGAGAAGAATGGAAAGCCTTATTGTGAAAACGATTACATGAATCTCTTTCATCCCAAGTGTACGGGTTGTGGACTCCCTATCCCTGATGTAAGCAATCATTTCTTAATATTAAGACAATATTTTAATGAATTCGTTTGTCTGATATGAAGGGCCGGCAAATCACTGCAATGGGAAAGCCATGGCATCCGGAGTGCTTTGTTTGCACCATTTGTGTCAAACCATTAACACCGGAGACATTCAAAGAGCACGCGGGCAAACCCTATTGCGAGGAAGACTACCACAAGCTATTTTCGCCCAAATGTGGAGGTTGTCAACAACCCATCACTGATGTGAGTATCGCTTCAACCCTTCCCCACAATACTATATTATTAATTAAAAACAAGGTTTCAATAGAATTGTGGATTGAAATCATAATTAACTTAAAAATTGTAGACTAATTATAGATTTTCCCCAATAATACGATATAACAAAAACACATATAACAGAAAGACGAGAAGGTAATGGTAAGGGGTAAGCCGTGGCACCCGGTGTGCAACGCTGCCATTAATGAGCCGGTAATTAGAGTAACGCCAGCCGTTGAGCCACTCCTTCAAAAAGCAATGCGACCGCCGGTCGAGACGGAAATCGGCCGCAAAAGCTATCCATTAGACGAATTAGATTTAATGCTTCCCTTAATAGAGGACTTCGCTAACAAATCATATCCAAACTGTAGTGGATGTCAGACACCGATTAGTGACGTAAGTTTTAATAACCCTTTTAGTCCTAACTGTCAAATACTAAATATACTGATCACCGAATTCACTTCTTTCTCTGCTTTAATCGCTAGAATTTCTATTGATTTGATATAACAGTAATCCTAACACTTAATAAAAAATTAACTCCTTTTTGTTGGGACTTAAGGGCAATAAGGTGACAGCGATGGGTAAGCCCTGGCACCCCCAGTGCTTCACTTGCGACAAATGTGTCCGGCCTTTGGATCCCAACAATTACTTTGAAATGAATGGTAAACCGTATTGTGAAGACGATTACCACAAACTGTTTTCCCCGAAATGCGAGGGATGTCTTACACCCATAACCGACGTAAGGCTGGCCTTTCCGGCCTATCGTATAATTAACCGCAAATCACAACTAACAACACTAATCTATTCGCACATCACTTTGCGTGTAAGTGTTTGCATCGTCTATGCCTTTCATTAATTCAATTTCCATACAAACTCTACGATTAATATTTCAATTCATTTCTCAAACCAAACGTCAATAAAAATATGCGACAAATACTGTAAATATCAATATAATTTCAAATATTCAAACATTAATTATAATTTACTTGTGTGTCACTGCATATCACCACTAATTTCGCACATTTAAAGCTTGACTTTCATGCGATGGTTGTCTTGAAAATTTTGCATTTAATGTCTTTCTACTGTATTTTCAAGTGTTATAAATATTTATGTTTTTGGCAAAAATTGATTCTTTGATGTTTTGTAACACTAAAATAACTTGAAAAATATTTTTCCAACAATAATTATGGCAAATGAGAGTTACATTAATGAATCTGTTATCGTGTTCTTAACCAAAACGAAAAAACAAAAAATTTATAAATTACGAAATGAGAGATATTGTAAATAATTAGAATAACTCATTAAAAAGGGTAAACCAGTGACAGCGATGGGTAAGCCGTGGCACCCGCAGTGCTTTACGTGCACTCAATGCGCGAAACCTCTCGGACCTAATAATTACTTCGAGAAGAACGGCAAACCCTATTGTGAGGACGACTTTCACAAACTATTTTCACCCAAATGTAACGGTTGTCACCTCCCTATCAAAGATGTGAGCATTTAGTTAAACTCTTCAATTATTAGCACAAAAAACAATAAAAATAATTTAATTAATTGAACAAAAAGGGCAATTACGTGACAGCAATGGGTAAGCCATGGCATCCACAGTGCTTTCAATGCACTCAATGCGGGACACCTCTGGGGCCCAACAACTTCTACGAGAAGAATGGCAAACCTTACTGTGAAAATGATTTTCATAAACTATTTTCGCCCAAATGTAACGGTTGTCACACACCTATCGTTGACGTAAGTATTTTTGTCCGTTTATTATTCAATCGTAAATAATAATGAATTGAATGAATGCCAGGCTTTGGGTCACGTGCGATACCCGTTCGTTACCGTAGGCGTCACAAAAGTTACGCTGTTTACACGCCAAGGAGAGTCAGGACTGTTAATAAAACTCTTCTTACCGTTTGGGATAACGCTTCGGCTAATTCATAAGCTATTTTCGCCCAAATGCGAGGGCTGTCACCTCCCTATCAAAGATGTAAGCGATCACAGAATCTCTAATTAGCGATTATTTTGAGTAAAATTTACTCATTTAATAAACATTATTTAATATTACATTGGAATTATGATATCTAAAAATAGGGTAATTTTGTCAACGCTTTGGGCCATAACTGGCACCCGAAGTGCTTCAACTGCGCTCAATGTGGCAAAAATTTGGGCCCAAATAATTTCTACGAGAAGAATGGCAAACCTTATTGTAAGGATGATTACCATAAGTTGTTTTCTCCGAAATGTGCTGGGTGCTATGAACCCATCACTGATGTACGTATTCGTATCATTAGTACTGCTGTATTAATATAATTAATTTATTATTTGGTTAATTTAATTGACAGAATAATTACATAAAAGCGATGGGTAAGGACTGGCACCCGGATTGCTTCAAATGCAATACATGTGAAGTGCCTTTGAGTCCGAATAACTTCTACGAGAAGGCGGGAAAGCCTTACTGTGAACGAGATTATCACAAACTATTCTCCCCTCCCTGTGCTGGTTGTGATCAACCAATTAAAGATCTGGTAAAACATCGCTAATGTTAGCTTATGATTGTGTTTTTAATTATTATATCAATAAAATTAGAAAACAATGGTTAAGGCGTTGGGTAAGAATTGGCACCCGGAGTGCTTCCAGTGCCACAAATGCCACAAAAAATTATCGCCAACTGATTTCATGGAGAAAAGTGGTAAACCTTATTGTAAGGAAGATTATCACAGATTATTTTCGCCCAAATGTTCGGAATGTAATCTTCCGATCGAAGGAACCGTAAGAACAATGTTTAATATTGGATAACATTATAAAAAATAATTCGTTAAATTCATTGAATTAGCCATTGGTAGCGATGGGCCGTCAGTGGCACCCGAACTGCTTCAAGTGCTGTCAATGCGCGACACCTTTGAGTCCCAATAATTTCAAAGAAAAGGATGGAAAGCCTTATT